ATGTTCCTGGCATATTTTATTATCGTAGTGCTATTTAAAAAATAAGAGTGTAAAAAATTATTTTGTACATTTACATGTTTGTTTATAGATATAGTAACTTTTAAAACAATATTTCTGCTTGTAGAATGGCATTAATTTTTTTCTATTTGTATTAACCCGTGATATTTTTTAAACGATTTTTATAACCAAGTGCTACTGTACTGAACTCTGAATGTTATTTCATACTCAGTTTAGAGCTCAGTGGAAGGAAGTGGTCTGTGCTTATTTTTGTGGCGATGTATAGCTATAGAATGGCTACTTTGAGACACAGACACCAAATGGTTTTGAATGTTTTCTGACAGTTTTCTGTCGTTTTCCCTGTCCTGCTGCTGCACAGAATAATAGTGTTACTGAGGAGGCGCTGGCTGCCCCCTGTGCACAGTAGCCAAAGCTGTAGCATCGGCTTTGGAGAAAAGAAAGAGGGTTTTTTATTGCTGAGTTGACCACAGGAGACAGGAGGCACCACTCAAATCTGTCTCCCCACTCTGGGGTCCAGACAAGTTTTAAGGGTTAGGGAAAACCGGGTGGCAGGTAGTGGTGTTAACTGGGCAAGTTGTGATTAGAGGATTGTAAAACTTGGCCAGTTAGGGTTGAGGGGCAAGAGAAAGCCCAAAGGATTTCCATTCTGGCCGTTTGGTCAGTTTTGTGTTTGTCCATATTTGGTCTAGGCACTGGATCTTCCTTATTGAAGGACCTCTCCTTCTGTGAAGGGCTCTGGTGGCCACACCTCTATCTGAGTTCCATACACTGAAGGTCCTTGATTCTGGGGTCACCTTGAGGACAGGGGTGGCATATGTGCAGTGCTCTCTGTAAAATAACTCAAAAGATTGTGTTCATCACCAGTTTACTTGAAGGGAGCAGAACCAGTGCATTGTTTCACTAGAGCAGGAAAGCATACTGGGCACTACCTTACCCAGATTTTCCGAAGCACTGGTTTTATTTAGTTCATTGTCATGGTTGAGGGGCAGGTCTGTAGATCCTGATTCCACTCCATGGCATGAAGCCCGAATGGCACCAGCTCTGACATCTGGTTAGAGCCTGCCAG